AGAAAGGCTCCAAGAATCAGGTCCTTAAGCGACACGAGACGGAGTCACTTTGCAAACCGGCAAGCCTCCGTCCGGTCTTCATTTCAAATTAAGATTGGTTCTTTTCCACGATAGCAAATATAGCCAACCGTGCCATTGTATCTTCCTATATCTCGCAGTGACAGAAATCACCCGACTTCTACCGCGTTTAAGCGGTGGCTAAGCACTACTCGAGCCTCGAGCTATATAGGATTCTGGGTAACAATATCCGGACAAGGATTGGGTAACCAATGCAAACAATTGTTTGCATCCAACACCTAAACTTAATGCAACAATATATATATGTAACAATAATCATCAGAATCGCATTTCGAAAATTAGGAGGCTTAATATGCTCCGGGCTTGCCTTTCACAAAGTTGAAAGGACGGTGGTCCGGCACTCAACGGCGACCTCGTCGCACTTCTCTGAAGGTCGCTCCTCCTGAATCTCCGGTGGCATTTCTGCTGCTCGCTTCGATTCCTCGAATTCCAGCAGGGTTACTCCTTCCGGTACACCTATTGCATGCCGATGCAAAAGATAAATATCATGGATGCATAAGGAATGACATGATGCTCATGATGAATGAATCACAAAGAGTGTTTACGAAAGCATCACTTTGGACACTCGTTTACCGAGTAATTAGCTCTATTCAAATCACTTTAAGCATATATCCAACTTAACTTAAATAACAAGAGCAACTTACCTAACTTGCATAACCTAAGATAAAGATGCTCATCTTCAGTTAAAGGCCTAACACCTAGGAACATTACCACAAACTTAGAACTAGTAAATACATACTTAAAATTACAGTTAAAGCTTCATTTGCAAACAAGTAGTCACTTAATTCAATCATAACCAGAGTTCTATAAATCCAAATGACTTGCAAGAGGACATTCTGGAAAGCTCATGAAATTCTCTACAATTCATTTGTAAACATCAAGGCATGATTCTTAAGTTAACCAAATCAAATTCCAGTAAACCTAGAATCTGTCCCGCAATGGCAGGGCTGCTAACTTAATTATTTAATGATGATGCAAAAGCATAATTTGATCAATCCAAGTTTACCAACTTGTTTTTCATACCCAAGAAACATTAGAAAGTATAGTGCCAACTTCTAAATAATTTATTTAATATCCTTTTCTAATTTATTTAGTTAATTAGGTGATTTAAGCAATATATAGTAAAACTATTTATAAAAATCTACAAAAATTACAGTAGCTATCTCATGCTGCACATAGACTACCATAAAAATTTCAAAGCCATTGGGCAAACATAACTTGCTGTATCTAAAATAACATATGACATGTCTATTTCTAGCATAATTAGGAAACCTTATTAAAAAGTGTCAAGCAACAGATTTCCCATTTTTCCTAGCATCATTCTAGCATAAGAATAGCACTCATCAAATTTCACCTTCACTGGATCTATAGAAAAATTATGAAAATTCACACAAGATCCACCCATTAATAAAAGGAAATTCTATAACTTAAAAACTACACATGCACTAGCTTTGAAATTTTAACCAGTGCTTCTAACAAGCAATAATAGACTGCCCACAAAATTTCATAATTTTTGGACCACAAGAACTCAAGATAAAATTCAAACAAGTTTGCATGCATCTAAAAACACATTTCAAAGTCCTATTTAAATCATCAAAAATTTCTAAAACATGTGCTCATATAATATTTTTGTTAAATACTAGACATGCCCAGGAACTCAACAAAATTAGAACCACATCATTTGGATCTATATACTAGGAGCTACATATTTTTGAATAACAACACAATTACAGAAATAATAAAGCAAAAAGCAAAATACTGAAACAAAACTCGCCATACTCGGGCCAGCCCAAGGAACGGCGGCCCATGAGTCACATATGCTGGCGCGCCCAATCTGACACGGCCCACGCTGGGCTCCCGCCTCGACCTCGGCGGTGACAGGGAGGGCCCACAAGGCCAATGAGGGAAACAGGGAAAGGAGGCGGACGGTGGCGTAGTTCACGCACGGTGGCTCCTCCCATGAGACCATCTATGCTACGACGTTCGCCATGATCATGCGCATCTAGTGGTGACCTCAATCGATGCTAGGGTAGTGGCTAGAGGGGTCGGCGACTGACACGGCGGCGCACAGCCACGGCACGGCCGGCTCCAACGAACTAACGGCGACACAGCCCCTAACGGTGACTCTACAAGCTTCGGTGGTGTTCCTATGACCTAGCGCGGCGAGGCGGAGGAGGGATGGGACGACGCGAGGACAGCCGGCGCGCGGGAGCGCCAACTCCGGCGAGCTCCCGCCATGGTCATGCGGTGGGGAGAACGGCGAATCGCCTCACCAATGCACGATCGACCCGACGGTGAGGTGGAGATGGTAAAGGGGATCACGACGAAGCTCTAGGTGAACGGAGCAACGCATTTTCGCAACGGCGTGGAAGCTAGGCGGAGGCGAAGGTGCGGCAGCAATGGCGACGATTTGCGGCTCGGTTCTTGTCGCAGCGGGGAGGCGAGGAAATCTGAAATGGGACGGGCGAAAAGGCCGGACAAAGCGCTGGGGTGGTTCTTCAGACACACCGCGACGCTGAGGAGAGGCGCCGCAAGGGCGTAACGCGACAAAGAAGTCGGCGACGAGTGTCACCCACGCGTCGGCTGAATTCTGAAATTTGATCACTGTAGCTTCGATTCAGTGTTCCCTTCTAAGCCTGACAGCGATACTTTGACAATGATTATTTCCTAATCTGTGGCGATCTAGACTATGCCATAGTTAACAAAGTTGCTCATCTATACGTGAACTACAATTCTTTCCACTGGAGCTCAAGCTAGTTTGGCTCGGTTAGGGAGATACACGGCTCCAAACATGGGTACACGAAACTGTACTTCACTTTAGGACTTAGAAAAATTTGCTAAGTATGAAATCAGCATGTACTTCGGACTTGTGGGCCATGTTTGAGCATGTTCTAGCCATTTTCATGAGTTGGTCATAAAACAACTTTTGTTCCTTGATAAATTAGCTACAACTTTTGTAAAGAGTGCACAGCCATGCAAAGTCTCTAGGTTGGACTTTTGAATCAGTCAAATGATGACACTCCAAGGTCAATTCAAGTCAAACTTGCACTTGAGGGCATTTTGGTCATTTTGATCTACATGAACAATGTCCCAACAAGTAACCTAAGTGTAGTTAAGGTGTATTAGACCATGATCAACCACTTTACAAAGTTGTTATACCACTTCTACTGATCACATGTGATAAAGAAAGTAAAACAAGCAATTCATACATATGTTTCAATACAACGTTTCACATGTTGCATGACCTTGTTGTTATCCTATACTTGTCACATTACTACCATATTGCCATGTTTCCAAGTATGAGAGTTTCATGTTACATTCACATGTTTCTCTACTACCATTCTAAGCAATCAAGCATGAAACACATACAATTTAAAATGTTGCGTATGTATGTTTCAGTGATAATGACATGATGACATAGATAATGCACATGGTTATGAAATGACATGCAATTTAGTGGAAGCCTAAACACCTAGGGTGTTACAGGGGCCCTCGTCGTTCGAACTTTGCACGCGTCTCCTACCCCCACACGGAGACCCGAACTTTGCCCGTGTGTCCCGATCCCACACGCAGACCCGAACTTTGCCCGCGTCTCCTGACCCCACACGGAGACCGCTCGTGCCCCCTCTACTTCCCTGGCTTGTACACCTGCTGTGGCAGGTAGGTCCCCAACAGCAACACCCGATCAGTTTTTGAAACATCTTGATAAAATATTTACAACTTACATGTGAAGATAGATGAAACACTAGTGAAAACACATGAAAATACTTGAAGAGCCATTGAAAAACATATGCAACATCCAAATAAAAACACTTGTAACGTATGAGTAAAGCATATGCAACATCCAGATAAAACACACTTATAACATGTTTGAAAAACAGATGAAAGATTTGAAACAGATGCTTGCAACATGCTTGTACAACCATTGCAACATATAAAACATCCTAATCTACTTTTGTAACATGCATATGAAACACTTGCAATATACCTCTGAAACATCTGAAACGCTCAAAACATACTCTTACAACATTTGAACATCTACTTGTTGCTTAAACGAATAGAAGCTCGGTGTGGGGCTGGCCGCGCATACCACCAGCATGTCGAAGACGGCACTAGCGGCGACGATGTGCCGATAGAGATCCACCCTGGCAAACTCGTGCAAGAGATGGAGGGAAGCAAGGCTTACGCGAAGGTAGCGTGGTTGGCTAGTTGGAGGGCCACCGGGATAGCTCACCAAGATTACCGTCCTATGGCCGCGACGAGCAGGAAAAGGGGGCGATGGGGGATTTGCTCGCCGAGCATGCACAGGGAGAACTATGAGCATAAGGCGACGTTTGTGAACCTAGGAGTGGATCGTGAGAGGGCCAAAAGAAAAGGGAGCAACGATGACTAGAGCGCTCCGGGCTCAGCCAGGCCTATCCGCTCATGCAGGCAGCAACCAGAGAGGAAGAGAGAGCAACGCGACGAGAGAAAAAAAGCGTGGGGGGTGGGGGGGGGCTCCGGGCTCAGCCGGCCCTATCCGCTCGTCCAGTGATGCCCCGTTATACGGCTAACGTTACTTAGGGCATAATTTGTAACTGAGGTCCCGTTCGCGTACCCTTAAACCCGGCTTGATCCGCTTCTTTTTTCATCCGAAACAGTGTTTTACTCTCATAAATTCCTCCAGATTCATTCAAATTCCTCCAGATTCATCCAAAATCCCCCAAACGAACGGGACCTGAAGTTCAAATGCACGATACTACTGGTAGTAGTTGAAAGCATGAATACAACGTCCCCAGTGGTACATGGGGCTAGCGAAGCATAACAGTGGCGGCATACGAGGGTGACGACCAAACGATTGGCGACAACCGTGACAGAAGTAGCCGCCAATCCTCGGAAATCGAGCGCCACAACAGCACGGCTGCGGCTCCCGGCGGCTCGGCTCAGAGTATGCCAGAGAGCACGTTGGCGGCCGTGGAGAGCGCGGCGCCAGTGATGGCGCACTGCACGACCTGCTCGTGCGACGCGTGCTCCGACGTGAGCGCGACCGCGGCGCCCGTGATGGCGCCGGCCACGGCGCTGTTCCTCCAGTCGTGCGTCCCGCGCACCTCCGCGAGGCCGTAGGTCAGGCCAGAGTGCACCCCAGCCGCGAGCCCTGCACCAGACACGTTCAGATAATCAGATCAGATCAAGCAGCAGGTAGTAAATGTTCATTAGTTCGATTGCCCATGCTGTAATTCTGTAACACAGGGTGTAGCAGGAGTGTAGAATGTGTTACCCCACTGTAACGACTCTTTGCTCACGCTTTTCACCTGTCATGAAAATGAAGAACAAAATCACAAACAACAATTACAGCAAGGCACGGCCGGCCTGAACAAGAACTGGGTTGATTCTGTAGTAGAAGGCGTACCATGGCCTCTGCCGACTTGCTACTACTCTTCGTCCCTGCCAAAAATCGCCAACACAAGAGATTAACGCTCGCTTGTTTACATCACACAAGGTTACACGGGTAAACAGCAAAGTAATAATCGGCTGAAAAATCAGAGACGTTACCATTGAGCTCCGGGAACGAACGTTTCTTTGAGCCGGTGGCGCCGGACACAGATCCTCCCTCGCCTGCAGTCAGCCACAGCAACACACCGCACAAAAAAACTCAACAAGGGACACAAACAGAGCGAAGTAGTCGAACAGCTTGCTCTACGACTACGAGCAGCAGCCCCACGCCACCACAAAGAAGGTTTTGTTACCTTCGATTGCCATGAAGTATGATTCCCTCGCGACCGCCTGCACTGCGCCGATCTGCGGAAATACACGGGATCAGAAGCAGTGGAACCGACCGACTAGTGTTGTTTGGTAAGGAAAAGAGAGCAGCAGAGGCCAGCAGGGTGCGGCGTGTGCTTACCCCCGCGGCCTTGACGAAGCTCTCGGCGATGCGGTTGAGGAACGGGTGGCCGAGGTCCAGCATCCAGTTCTGCTTCTCCAGGCCGCCGCGCACCTTGTCCGCGAACGCCCGCGCCTGCGTCTCCACGCCGCTACTCATCTTCCACTGCTCTGCTCTTCGGCTCCCCTCTTGTCTCTCTTGAAGATATCCGAGCTAGGAGCTACCGCTGCAGCAGAGCCCAGGAAGACAAAGCACGAATGCAAAGGGCAGCTAGGCGATGCAGAGAGAGAAGGGCGAAGTTTGGTGAGCGGTGACCCGGGCCAGCGCCAGTCCGTCCGTACATAACACAGATCGACGTCCTACTGGTTCTTGGTCTGCTGGGGAAGAACTGGAAGACACGTACGCATGCTTCGCCGACACGTACCCGCGGGGTGTTTACGTGGCACTCTTCTGGAACGTGCGCGGCGCCTTCATGGTTCTTTGACATCTGCCGAAATCCGTGCGTTGGCCTCGTTCGCAGCTTCCAACACAGACTGTGCAGTTTAATCACTTCGAAGAATTGTTTGTCGATATAGGCAATATAACGCAATACAGCCGTACGCACCGTAGATTGTTCGTTCATTCTGATCCAAATACACTTCAAAATCACCTTTCATCATCAAACATAAAAGTTATGTCTTTTCAGAGGAGAAAACTGTTGTGACTACTATTATTCTGCCTGATTCAAGTAAACTGTTGTCACTACTATTACTCTGCCTGATTCAAGTGAAGTTACTCCATGGATACCGCCGAACAGTTCCAATTTCGGGTATTGAGTTTGCGACACATGAGCAGGTTACAGTCGCAGGGCTGATATCCCTTTTTTGGTATGAAAAAGGGAGTTGTCAAACAGATGAAAACAAAACGCATTGGAATGATAAGGGACTCAACTCAAGGTATCCAACATGTTTGCATCACTCATTCCAGTTTTCAAAATGTATGAACAACGAACCGATAGACAGAAAAAAAAAAAGTTCACGACGTCCACATACACCTCCAAAAATCGCATGCACTAATTTGCGAGCTTATTTCTTGGACCATGCCAAACCCTTATGAGCTGATCCCGAGCTGGATGCGCCAATCCTCAAGCTGCTTCTTTACTTGTTCTGAACCAGTAGAGCCAAAGGATATGAACTTGTTTACAGCGTTTTCAACCCCCAGGTATTCATAGACGTCGCCCTCAAATACAGGATGGACAGATTTTAGGTCATCCAATTCAAGCTCAGCTAGCTGACACTGCTTGTAGACGCATAGAGCAACAGACCTTCCAACTATCTCGTGAGAAGTTCTGAAAGGAACTCCCTGTGAAGGGCCGAAAAAAGAAAGGTTAAGCTAATATAACCCCCCATCCAACTAAAATAAACAGCATAGCACCAATAAAACTACAGTACTGTTAGTTTGCGTCCCTTTGATATCAGCCTATCACCATGTTTCAAAGTTGATGTCTAACTGCTACGTGCAACTATGTCAAGATAACAGTGATGAGAGAACAGAGTTTACCTTCTTCACAAGATAATCCGCCAGCGTCGTTGCATCCAGATAACCAGTTGGAAGGGAACTTTGTATTCTTTTCGAATTAAAAGAGATATTTTGAGCAAACTCCGTGCATACTTCAAGCATTCCTAATACAGCTTTCACACTATCAAACAAGGGTTCCTTGTCTTCCTGCTCAGAACGAAAACTTCAGAATACGCACTCATTTAAGAGTGGATATCATTATGAGAATTAGGCTCACCTGAAGGTCACGGTTGTAGGCCTGTGGAAGGCCTTTACAGAGGGTTAGAACAGTCATGAGGTCTCCAACAACCCTAGCAGATTTCCCACGAACAAGCTCCATTGGATCCGGATTTTTCTTCTGGGGCATAATGCTGCTTCCTGTTGAAACTTTGTCACTTGGTGTCAGGAACCCAAATTCCTCTGACGCCCAAAGAACCCATTCTTCACCAATTCGCGAAAGATGAACAGCAGCAATTGAATTGGCAGCAAGAAACTCTAGTACAAAGTCACGGTCTGATACTGCATCAATGCTGTAGATGGGAAAAAACTTCGAGCTTAAGTGAGGAAGGACTAACTGAAAGAGTAAAATTGAAAGATATGGCATTCTCTGAGCTCTAGCCTGACTGGTGAGTAACTGAGGGCATGACTGACAGTTCTATTTAATTGGCAGACAATCACAACTCACAAGAATATAATGGCTATATACAGTACAAAGTAGTCAATAAACAATTCTCATACTGTATAGTATTTCTTTACAGAAGAAATATGACCAGGTAATAAGGCTTGCATTTTTCATACATTCCTTTGGCACGACCAAATCAAAGTGCTTGGAAATATAAAATTGAGTATCTAACAGATTCCATGTGTGCTTGCATGTCAAGATAGATACTCATTGCAGCAGATGCCGAGTAACTAACTAACTAGAGTACTAAAGTTTTAGCGTTTAGGTACTCAATTTCATAAAACAATTCTAGCTTGATCACAGTTCAAGAAAGTGTTATAGCACAGAAAGTAAGCTACAACACTTGCAGCCTTGAAATGATATTATTGAAAGAAATCAAGAAGTTACCTATTCTTCATTGGAGCCGTAAATTTCAAATCTTTAGCAGTTTGGAACCTATCAATGGGAAGTCCAGTTCCAGCCAAAGCACAAGCACCAAGAGGGCAGAAATTCACTCGCTCCCTGCAGTTGACCAGCCGACCAGCATCACGCTCCAACTGCACATAGTGTACATCAGAATAAGGTCAGTCAGTCGTGAGTAACATGGTTTATTCGAAAAGATTGCCATAAATCATCTGGGCTACCATTAAAACCCTTTCACGGGGACACAAGCAATAAATAAACCCTTTTACAGAATAAACAAACTGTTAGAAATGTGACCTTAATGCTTCATTACAGGTCATCTGGGCTACCATTAAAACCCTTTTTACAGAATAAATAAACTGTTAGAAATGTGACTTTAATGCTTCGTTACAGGTCAGGCTAAAATGGTGAACAGAGCTAGTGGTTCAGGCATTCAGCAGCTCAAAGATTGTAGAAGATAAAGCACCTAATTATGGCCCAGTTTATTTATATTCCAAACTCCGAAGTTAAGAACTTTGCGTAGGTGTATGTATGATCTGGACTGCACCAATGGGAGGACTTGAAATCGTGTAAAATCATTTATGAACATAATTGAACTTTTTTTTTTGTTGCATTGGAGATGTCAACATACCAAACTGACAGTTTGAACACAGAATGTTCTCTTTTCTGCACAAAAATTCTTCACATTTTTTCAGTTTCACCATAAAAAAAGCAACAGAGCTGATATACCACACAAGCATTAAACATTAAACATTAAACATATATCTTTCTTAGATAGGGGTGCACTAATTTGGTCACTATATATAGAGAGATGTGATTTAAGTACTTGTTTGCACCATAACCACAAAGTGCAAATTGGGGAATAATCATCAAGTAGACGTGGCACACATTCAACACTAAAATGGATAATAAATTTCCAATGTTGCGTTGTTAAGAAAGCCAAGAAGATTTAAATCACCTGTTCAACATATGATAAGAGAAGATGTGGCAGCAGAACAGGTTGTGCCCTTTGCAGATGAGTATAACCCGGGACTATTAAGTCAACATATTTTGAAGCCAAAATAACCAGAGACACCTGAAACGATAAGAGGTACGCTAATATTAGAAGTGAACAGCTTCTTCATATATATAGGGAAATAGAAAAAAAAATGTATTAGCATGAAAGACTGGAATCACTAGTGCAGTCATGAGAATACACAACATCAGCCATCAGGTACTCAAAACAGCTTTTCTTTAAGTCTTTACTTGAAAACAATTAAACTATTCTTTTGCATCAGTTCTAGATCAAGAAGCAGGAAGGTTAATCAGAAGTTCTCTCAGAAATTCCTACCCTAGATTGACATTACAGAATAAAAGATTAATAGAAAGGAATCTTTGAATCTTCAACGAGCAAGATTTTCTTAATTGTTGGAGTGGCCATGTGTTAATTGAGCAGAAAACAAAAGAGTGCCACACCAGCAATAAGTGAGAGATGGAAAAGAAATGTGAACATGATAGTGGCAGGACTTCATGAGCATCACAAAGGAAATTCAGGAGCAAACCTGAAACTGCTTGATACGAATCAAAATCTTGTCAATAGCATCACGGCACCATAGCCTTAGATCTGTCACAATTTGGTCATTGCGGCTCCTAGCGGTATGCAACTTCTTGGCTGGCTCACCAACCCTCTCAATCAGAGCTGCTTCAATGTTCATATGCACGTCCTCCCGGTCCTTCCTCCACTCAAATTTGCCTTCTTGGATCAGCTTCTCTATCTGATCAAGCCCCTCTAAGATGATATCCCTATCAGTAGCTGTTATCAAACCCTGCATTGCAAATTATTCAGAAACCCAACTCAAAGATTGTGATAATTAGTTTTAAGTAACATATAGCTTAAGCATTAAGACAGTCGATTTGATTCAGCATTTGACCAAAATACAAAGAACAACATTTCTGGTAAAACCTTGAGGGTAGCAGATTAAACTTCCTCAGTGCCACCTAACAGAAAGCTAACAGATTTGAACACCTAGGGATCCCAGCAAGAGCATAGCAAAGGAGCACAACAAAAAAGCTGGCATTTTCTCGAACACATGGCGAGCAAGGTGGTTAGTAGCGGGTTAACCCACCCAGACCAAAGACCCCCAAAACGTTCGACGGAGCCCTGGACCTGACGGGACATCTAATTGGTCGAACACCTAGACGACACCGACCGCCAAAGAGCGTCAGGAGATACCTGGCCGGCGAGCATGGAGGCGTGGGCCTTGCTGCCCATGATGTCGTACTTGTAGAGCTGCCAGTCGTAGGATATGGACTCCGTGAAGCGCTCCACGGCGTCGGTGACGCCCTCCTCGAACCGCCCGCCCCAAAGCTTGGCTTCCCTCTTATCTTCGCCCTCCGAGGACGCCATCGAGGTGGAGGCCGCCGGGACGGGCGGGAAGGCGGCGCGGTGGTCCCGGAAGGTGACGCGACCGACCGAAGGGGCTATGCGAGCACAAGGAGGCGAGGCGGGCGCTCGGAAGATTAGGGATTGGGAGGTGAATGCCATAGGCGTCGTCCCGCCGTTGTTTGATGCGGCGGCGCGGCGGCGTAGGTGGTGGCTTGGTGGCTTTTGGGCTTTTGGCGATTGTGCTGGGGACACTCCACAGAGGCTGACCACGCGACTACGGGAGGCTATGACCTATTGACGACAAGGGCTGCCAAGAAATTTCAGTATATAGACGTTGAAGGTTGATTGAAGCGGGCTAATATGGTTCGATTCGGACACATATTTGAGTTTGAATATGAATATGGATTAGAAATCTTCTCCGAATACAGATACAAGACAGGTAGTTTGAAACAATTTGAATTCAAATTCGCATTTAGATGTCTGCTTAGTTTGCGTGATACTCCACCCGTTCTAAACTATAGTTGTTGCTATTTATTTGCCGACAGATTTTTGAGAAAAAAGTCTATCAAATTTTTAGATGTCGTGAATGTTGTTATTTGATGTCTTGTTGTCCTGGCTCTTATTGTGTTCAAAGTTAGAAGAGGAAATATGACAAGTTGTATAAAATGTTGCAGATGATATTTTATCATGTTTCAAGAATTGTTTATGCATGTTGCATAGTACTTCATTGGTTCAGTCATATGCAACATAGAAGGATAACATGTGCAACAACGGGGGATACATGTACAACTTTTAAATATAGGTTTGTGACACCGGCCCACTCACAGGGTAACGGGCCCCTGTGTGCGGGCGGGATATGAGGTTTGGGGGTTTTCTCGGACCATGTGAGGAGTCATCTACCTTAATGCGAATGCTTGAGAGACACATGCTATCTCTTCGTAGTCCGAGCTTTTTTTTTATTATGCTAGTCAGAATTAGAACTCTAAATCTTTGGTTTTGACAATTGAATTTCATACACTAACCGGTTTAACCCAAAAGATAAAGTTGATGATAAGAGATGGACAGTTCACTAATATTTGGCTTTAAATAACATATTGAATTGAATGCACTAATCAGTTTAACCAAAAAATTAAGTTAACGAGAGTGGTGAGCTATTTACCTATTTGAACACACATGGCAACTTCGCAAGGTACACTTACGAGAGACGAGGCTAGTATTCAGCACCTGTTCGCTTGAACGTATCAGCTATGCTTATCAGTCATAATACAGTATTTTTTTTTCTCATAACAAAACAGCATCAGCCGACTTATAAGGCACGTAAACGATCATGCGAACAGGTGCAGAAAGATGAATTCCACGTCAACCAACGTTATAAGCTCGAACATCTTACCGTTTCGGCGAGCATGACGGCGTGCACGTGGCTGCACGCGACGTCGTGCGTCCACAGTTCCTCGGCCGCCGCAGCCACAAGAGGCTCGGAGAACCGTTCCCGTGCTCGGGACTCGGCCGATTTGCCGTTGAGCCACAGCTTCGGCGGAACCTCCTTAATCTTCACCGGCACCGCCGCAGCTTCCCGCTCCACCACCGTCCGCTTGGCTGGCAGTGGTGGCTCGTTGACGTAGTCTAGCGATGACTTCACGGAGGACTCTGCGGAGTTGTCAGTTGAGCTGCCCACCATCTCGATGAGGCCCAATTCGTGCGTCGACAGCCGCTCGCCCGTCGCCACCTCGACGATCTCCAGCCCCTCCACCTGCTTCGGCTGCTGCTGCTGCATCTGCGGCGCGAAAGGTGACCGCGTCGAGTCCGTCGAGTGCTTGACCGACCTCGCCGTGGCCGGTTGTCGTCCTGTCGGCGCTGGCGAGTTGACGGTGGTGCTGCCGTCCTCCGTAGGCGTAGGAGAAGGTGGCTGCGTCACAGAAGGGGTCGTCGCGGCCTGCACCTGCACTTTCTCCGACGCAGGGGAGCCAGGCGGATGTGTCAGCAGCGACACAGCAGGCGTGAGCGCCAGGCGCCGCGGGGCGCTCACCGTGGCCGCGGCTTTGGCCTGCCTCCGCTCCTTCTTCTTCCTGTGGAAGCACGGGCCGAAGGACGGCATGCGCGGTTTCCGGTGCTTCTTCTTCTTCTTGTGCTCGTCGGTGGCGCCGAAGCCGCTATGGTTCGGCATGGCGTACACGAAGAAAGAAGGCTCCTCCTCCTGGGTTTGCTGCTGCGCTCCGGCGGCCATCGTCAGCGCATCACGGACCTTCGACGGTGTCCGCTGCCCATGCTTGCTGCGGCTGCGGCTACGGCTACGGTCTCGGCCGGGGCAGCGGAAGAGGGACCTCAGCGGGTTGAAGGAGCAGCACGGCGTGCTGCGTTCCCCTTTGTTGCCGCCTAAGCACCTGCACCGGGCGCGGCGGTGGGACGACCGGCCGCGAGCGCGAGGAGTCGTCGACATTGGCTGCTGGCTGGACGGGGGTGTGGGTGTACGGCGTCGTTAGGAACAGAACTACAGAAGCTCGGAGTCGCCGTGCGTCGCTAGTGGATTTGTTCGTGGAGTTGTAGGTTTGTGGCGGGTTTGTGTTACGCGTGCATATGGTTTGCGCTCATTACGTGCAGAGCACTACTGTCGTTGTTGATCATGGCGGCCAGCCGGGCGGCCGTGACAACCCTGCGTGGTGAGCTCGTTTGCGAACGTGGCGCTTGATTGGGCAGCACGATGGTGATTAATTGCGTTAATTTCCATTGCCTGTTGCGGCCTCTCGAATTGAGATTAGAGAGTCCGTGTTCTTGTAATTTTATATAGAACTATACATTAATAAAATAAAAGGCAGCAATGCTATAGTTCAGTGCTTAATTTAATAATTTTAGTCTTCTCAGAGACAAGTTTTTCCTCGCCTGAAATTTTGGAGTAAAAGTCAACGCCATTTGTGTTGAAACTTGAACAGGCTTAAAGCCTCAAGCAAGCTGGGCTGGGCTTGTCCGTTAGTCCTCACAATGCGGTCCATGCGTAATTGGTAAACCCTCCGCTCTTGCGGCCCATGGGTCCTGCATAACGAAACTAAATATTCAGAACACTGCAGCTAGCCCGACCAAGCGCCACGCACGGATTTTAAGGGCGCGTTTGGTTGGCCGCATATGGCTGGGCCAGGCTGCCGAGATGCAAGACACATGTGTTTGGATGCCTGCATGTGACCTTGGGCCAGGGCCGGCTCATGCAACCAGCTCCCGGCGGCCAGGCTCCCGGGAAACGAAATCGGAACTCGATTCTCCGGAGTCAGGCTCCCGCGGCACGCGAGCGCTCGGTGGCGGGACGCTTCCATGCGGTCCCCACACCATATTATCGGTCAACCAAACAGTTTCTCCCTGTATCTTGGGCTTGGTTTAGTTGGCGAATTATTTTGGGAAATATTACCGTAATACTTTCGTTGTTATTTGGTAATTAGTGTCCAATCATAGTCTAATTAGGCTTAAAAGATTCATCTCGTGAATTTCGTCTAAACTGTGTAATTAGTTTTATTTTTTATTTATATTTAATGCTTCATGCATGTGTCCAGAGATCCGATGTGACGAGGAATCTTAAAATTTTTTTGTAAAATTTTAGGAACTAAACAGGCACTTGTATCTGCACACCTAAATAACCAAACACCAATACCTGTATGACCAGAGCCTGGCCTGCATGCCAGATGCGACCCAGGCTGTATAGAGACGGCAACCAAACGCGCCCTAAACAAACAAATAAGACCCACACAGACAGAGACACAGAGTTATTCTCAGCGAGAGTCTCTCACGGTCTGAATCACAAAAAAAAAAAGGAGAGTCTCACGATCTGACCGTCTCACTCACACACGGAATCCGGTGTTATCCTGCTGCAAAGGATCCAGATCTAGGCGCGGCCAGGAAAACCACGGCCCCTCCCCAGCAAATCTAACCCGCTGCAGGCGCCAGGCTACTTGCATTTGGCGGCGCTATGGAACTATCCCCACCGTCTACGGGTGCGCCGTGATTCGTATGGGCCCCCGAAGATACCGCGGAACCGGGCCACCGTTACGCAAACCGGGAGCCGCCCGCGCGGCATTTCCGAATCCGAATATAAAAGCCGGCCTGGAATCTCTTGGCCGTCCCCCCATCCACGAGTCGCAGCTTCTAGTGACCAACCAGGGACTGCCCGCTCGAGCCGAGATCGATTTGGTTGCGTGACACGTGTGCAGTGAGACAAGCATGGGATTGGGAGGCGAGACTGCGGCGGCGGCGGCAACGAAGCCAGGGCGGCGGATCCTGGTGGCGGTGGACGAGGGCGACGAGAGCGTGCAGGCGCTGCGGTGGTGCCTCGGCACCTTCGCCGCGGCGTCGCGCGGGGACACGGTCATCCTGCTCTACGTCCGCCCGCCGCCGCCCACCTACTCCGTGCTCGACGCCTCCGGTACGTGCGCGCACACACGCCTTGCTTCTCCCCGCACGCGATAGAGATCTGTGCCGGCTTTTTTGCTTGATTAGTTCTCCGCACGTCGTCGAGAAACTGACAATCCTGTGCCGCAAGCCGCTGTAGGCTACCTGTTTGCGGAGGAGGTGACCGCCGTGATCGACAGGTACAGCCGGGAGGTGGCGGACGCGGTGGTGGAGAAGGCGCAGAAGCTCTGCACGCTCTACAGCAAGGTGCTCAAACTACGGATCACACTCACGTTTCAGTTCAGCGATAGCGGTCGACCGGCAGACCGATCTCACAACCCCGGCCGCGTGGTGGTTTTGCTGCAGGACGTGGATGAGAGTGACCACGAGATGAAGGTCGATGTGAAGGTCGCGGTCGGGGACGCCAGGGCCGTCATCTGCCATATGGCGGACAAGCTCGGTGCCGACGTTCTGGTGATGGGGAGCCATGGCTACGGCTTCTTCAAGAGGTACAGCATCGACACTGTAACTAATCCGTGAGGGTTCATTCCTGTCAGTCGGTTGCGGACAGCGAGCTTAGAAAGCTGTGATTACTTTTGGGTCTTTGGGAGTAGGAAATGTTTGTGCATGCGGTGATAGCCGTCGGCTTTACGTTTTGCAGGGCTCTCCTCGGAAGTGTCAGTGATTACTGTCTCAGGAATGCGAGCTGCCCCGTTCTCATCGTGAAGCCATAGCACGAACCACGAACCAAATGTTTCGCTAATCACAACCATGTGTCCATGATGCCGAAGCTGCTGCTCTGCAATTTCGCTTTTTCCCCATGTTATTTTCCCTGTCTTTTGTAATTAGTTTTGCTTCAAATGTATTTTGCAAGATAGGAAGATGTGTGTGCAACCTGTATATTGTATACACATCAATGGAGCAGCCTGTATATATACTTATATATAGCGATACCACGGTACCACCACTGTAATAGGATCTTGATGCTACTTGTGTCCTTGGGCTGCAAGGCCGATACTTGACTTTTCAGTCAGAATTTCCTTATGTAACCCGTAACCGTTTGCCACTATGCCGGGTGGAGATCGGTCTCTAGGGTTGTACTATCGTACAGCCTAAGCGCCGCATAACTGGTTCAGAGCAAGAACTGGGGCATTTCAAACCTAGCTGTATGCCGCATTGCCTCTATGCATCCAAAATTGAGTGTGCTGCTTGCTTATCGGCAACAATGAAGTATACCTAAGGGGATATTTACCTTTTTCATAACAACAGATGTTTATAACAATGAAGTAAACTTAAGGGGATATTTCAGCTTGTTCTTAACAATGGTAGAGGTGGTATTTTTGGGGTCAAATTTATGGGTTACTTGAGGTTATCTTTCATAATGATATAGACAGTAATTTAGATTTAGTTGCTCACTTTATATTATTATTCGTATATGGTATAGGTGGGTAGAAGGTTGCTTTATACTCTCTTCGTTCTAAATTATAAGTCGTTTTGATTTTTTCGGTACATAAATTTTGCTATCTATCTAGTCATACGTTATATCTATGTCTAGATACATAGCAAAGTTTATGTACCAAAAAAACCAAATCGACTTATAGTTTGAAACGAAGGGAGTATTGCCTTTCATAATAGCATAGGTGGATAATTTAAAGATAGATTTAAGGGGTTACTTTAGATTGTCATTTGTAATGTCATAATAAAAAATTTAGAAAAAAGTTTGCTTAAACCCCCTAATTATTGGTGGTTATCCGAAAGTTTGGGTTAAATAAAGAAATTCCAAATTTGATGCCTGAAATTTGTCTTGAGAAAATAGTACTTGCCATTTTGGGTTCATGAAATTTCAGGTTCATGTATTCCCAAACTACTCGAAATTAACAAAGTCATTAAAATATTTATAAGAGACAGAACTATAGATGCAAGTTTAACCAACAAAAATAATAGCTTTTAGTAAGCATTTTAGAACAAAAAACGCAAGCACTTCATCATAGATTAGTAGGTCCCTCTGGGGGTACCACCCCGGATACCCACGGCAGACTACATGGGCTGCGCTGCCAGGGGCGGTCCAGCCCACAAGACGAAGACTTACGGTGCACGGTACTGCTCGGCGTGTACCGCAAGACATCAGGGGCGATATCCTGAAGATGCTACGAGATCTGTTAGGATATGCTCGATCGCATGATTCCTGTAATCTGTTATTACTTATCGCTTATCTCCTAGATCTAACCGACTTGTAACCCTATCCCCGGCTATACAAGGCGGGTAGGGGACCCCCTCAAAACACATGTAATATCATACGATAGCCAATACAAACCAACAGACCACAGGAATAGGGTATTATGTCGTGCTGACGGCCCGAACCTGTATAACTCTTGTGTCCCTGTTGCCTTCTTGTTCTTGATTATACGCACCTCTGCCGATCAATCTACCTTCGTGGGATACCCCTCGGAGGACTGCCGACAATATTCTGTCGACAGTTGGCGCGCCAGGTAGAGGTGTGCGTGCTATTTCCATGACAAACAAGATGGTATACTTTTCAAGCTCTTTGTCCTCTCCAGAGCCCGACCAGATCTTTACGGTCGGATCGATCTCTTGGGTCATCAATGCTGACGGAGATGGAGAGATCTTCAAGCCGGTGCAGATCAATTCTGCGCCGACCACACCAACGCCTGCAACAACAGATCCGATCTCGGAACCGCCTCCGAGGTTGTCTTCACAAACAACTCGCTGCCTGCTGCCCTACTACTTGAGGAAGCAGGTCGGCAACGACGATCTGATCGCATCCATTGATCAGGTCAGCCAGAAGCTCGCCGACTGCCTCTCCCTCACGGAATCGGCTCTGACCACTCTGGTTCGGCGCCGACCACCTTTCGGTTCCGATCTATCGGAAGCCGATCGGTAAACTCCAGGAGATATGGCCACCATCCATCAGGATGCCCTAAGGGACAAGTTCGCCGACCAGATTGGAGACATCTATCCTCTCGCCGACCCGATCGCCGACCAGCTCTCATTGACTGTCAATATGCTGCAAATCGGCCAACGTCCCGATGAATCCCTCCACACCATCCTAGAGGAAAATCCAGACTCTGAGTCCCAGGGCTCTACGGAGATTGTCGCCGAAATCGCTGCCGTCCAACCTCCTTTTCCACCCTTCCGAGGAGGCGGACACGCTCAGCTACTCGCTAAGTGAGCTGCTCGAACCATCAAGCGAGCCGCCTGGACTACTTGCTCCGACCACATGCCGCATTGCATCGATGATCGCCGCAAAAGAACAGCATTGTAACAACCGCGACCGCCGCCACGACAACAGGCCGGAAAGCTCAAGGGCCGGGCAATTTCATCGACGCCGACCAGATGTTTTGTCTAAAGCTAAGTCACACTTTAATATTTTTCTAAATATTTCCCATCCTTCATATATCTTCATGATGTTTCTCCGAGCTATTTTCTCCATGTTTGTTCTTCAAACGATTTTTCTTTCATGTATACCATCTTAAAGATGACATACAGCTAATCCTAAGACAAATCTCCGAACAGTCATGTTGATGCTCGGATGTTCCCAGAGATGGCCATATCTCTGGCTTCTCCCTACACGTGCACGAGCGCTTGTCCTCTGTGTTAGGGGTGGTCGACAGTGGCTCCTTAGTGACGCCCTACTCTTCCTACACGCACACGGGCTCCGCGCTCCGCGTTATGGTTAACAGGCTAGCTAGGGCTGGAGACTCAGCTACACACTAACTAGTCGAATGGTTTATATTAAATATAAACACATTTTTAGAATAACACTAAGTGTTCACACCAACTGATCGCCGAGCTGCATACTCTATTTCATCACTATTGCTGATTCTTCTTCGGAGTTCATATATTTTATTTTTACATAATGGACTACCCTTTCTACATATTTGTTTCGCAGGGGCGCGGTTCGGTCAATGAGCTTATGCTCAGGGATTGGACAAGATGATCATCGTCCGGGTGGTCGGACCACCTATCGGACGGACTTCACCGCCAACCAACTGGTCGGACTGCTCGACACTCACTCCTGCTCGGCGTTCACTTCGCCGCCGACTAGTTGGTTCGACTGCTCATCGCATGGGCTTCATCCTCAACTACGCTGGGACTCCTCGGTATTCGGATTCTCCATGCAAGCGTCGCCAGCTAAGCTAGGGACTCCCTTGGTGGTCGAATCTTGCTACGTATCATCGGTGTGCTATCGAGTTGCTCCATACTGTTTGGCTTAGGGTGCTGATCTTGGACAGCACGTCCGGGGTCTTGTGAAGTACATGACATATGACGTTGGCAAGCTTTCATTAAAAATTCTTTGACCCTGCTAAAAGATATCTTCAAAATCTTCCAGTAGGCTCGGGGACTACGTCATCATTATGATTTGGTTTCTCACCATACTGGAGACTTTTTTTTCTTGGTTACCGTTGTTTTGATCCTGTCACCATGTGACCATGTCACCTACTGTCAGGCTCGAAGACTAAGTGGGCACACTTCACCTTGCGGTGAATGTACGCTTTTCATTTCAGGGCTCAGCCCGTGGACTGGTTGCCTGTTCGGCTGGTCTTCTGTCTTTCTTTTACTTTCTGGACCCTGGCACCACGTGACCACGTCACCTACTGTCAAGCTCGAGGACTAAGTGGGCACACTCCACCTTACGGTGAGTGTGTTTTTCTTTAATCTGTTCATTGGAAGACTCTGTGTCTCCCGAAGTTGAAGAAGATTATCTCCTTTTCTCATGGTCGGACTCTAAGTGGGCACACTTGGTTCACAGCGATAAAATTTTTTATTTTGAACTTGAGCTCCTTATATTCTTCTGGCAAGCCTTACTTGGGTAAGCCCAGGCTCGGCTGGACAATTAAGCTGGTCGGTTACGGTCTACAACTGCTCGGCGACTCATTAGGATGGTCAAACTATGAGTCTGACTGCTCGGCTTTATTTACACCTGCTCGGATAAGCTCAAGACGGCGTTGCACAGCGGATACAAGGCGCTCGGGGACTAGCTGTGGGGGGTACGACCCCGAATACCCATGGCAGACTACATGGGCTGCGCTGCCAGGGGTGGTCCGACCCACAAGACGAAGATTTACGGTGCACGGTACTGCTCGACGTGTACCGTAAGACATCAGGGACGATATCCCAAAGATGCTACGAGATCTGTTAGGATATGCTCGATCCCGTAATTCCTGTAATCTATTATTACTTACCGGTTATTTCCTAGATCTAACCGACTTGTAACCCTACCCCCTGGCTATATAAGGTGGGTAGGGGACCCCCTCAAAGCACACGCAATATTATACGATAGCCAATACAAACCAACAGACCATAGGAGTAGGGTATTACATCGTGATGACGGCCCGAACCTGTCTAACTCTTATGTCTCTGTTGCCTTCTTGTTTTTGATTACACGCGTCTCTACCAATCAATCTACCTTCGTGGGATACCCCTCGGATGACTGCCGACGATATTCTGTCGACAGTCCCAATGACGTCCAATGACATCACAATTGAAATTAAAAAAATAGCACAATCATATCACAGATACTAAATAGCATATATGATGAGGACATGAGCTCCATGCATACGACCATGCTTGGAGATAAAGGACGAGGAGATCAGCGAGGGTGTCCTAACCGAGAAGGAGGTTTGAAGCTCATCCAGTTCAAGTCACCAAGGTGGAGGCCCAAATCAAGTTCGAGGCCATCTCGGGTTCCAAGACCAGTCTGTCATAAAACTGG